CCCCAGGTAAGCCAGAGAAGATTTAATTTCCAACATCTAAAAGAGACTTCACTTCATAGTTGGCCACTGCACATCCCATCTTCAATCATTCTTCCTGAACAACCTCCCTGGTTTGTGAACACAACATGGGGAGATGTTATACTGGAAGATCTATCTAATGAACACAAGGATCATGTATTTATGTCATTTAATAACACAACACTGTGTCAGCTTCTAGAACCAAGAATATCACAACACTTCCAGCCATTTCAAACCACCAGGAGCTCTCTTAGCTCCCCACAAGAACTGGGAATTGAAGTCATTGTTCCCAGGGGTGCTGTAAGGGAAACCATGAAGCCCAGACCACACACTCTGTTCATAAATGTATCCTACAGCCAAACTGAAACAGGGACTTTTTGCACCCACCTTAAGAAGAAATCAAAATCCCTGAGTGGACTGTTATTGTAATTGTAATTGTTATTGTAATCAGTAATTGGCAAAACTCAGGACAACTAGTAAGTATTGGAGGAAAACCCTGATTTTCCGCTGTCTTTCAAGGTTGGTGGCATAAGTTTATACAAAGTAACTGCTCCTCATTCAAAAAGAGTATTTCAAGTTCTTCTGTTACTCAATTTTATACCACCTTAATGTGGGTCACTTTAAATCTGTGTTGTTACAGTTCCTTACCAGTGAGTGAGTTACAGAAAAATTCCTTCTGCCCATCATCCACAACATTTGCATTTTGCTTTCTCTGGGAGAATACTGTAAAAGGATGTAATAATGAACACCCCTCAGAAAGGATATGAACACAGAATTGACAAACAGAAGTGGAGCTGTACAATAGCATTAGCTACAGGTACTCTGATGTGCAGATTCTTATAAATACAAACATTTTCAAGATGTCTCTCTCCAGTTCACTGAGCACAGACCTGCCAAGGGCACAGGTATGAAGCTCCTACATTTTCAAAAAGGGTTTTTTAAAAAGGATGCAAGTCTCAACACCACACATTATTTATAAACATCAAAAGTACCAGTCTTCCCTCTGGATTGTAAAATGCTCGGTTTTATCTCTCCCAGCAGAACACAATACCTTGACAACTAGCCCACGTGTGAGACAGATCTTGTTAGGGGGCTCACTGCAGGAATTTGGAGCATTGTGCACACAGTAACATGTTTCTCTTGCCTGAAGATACCTTGAGGGCTGTAACTGATCTCTGAACAAGGAGACTGGGGCAGACTCATCCCCAGGAGGAGGACTAAGTCCTTTTAATCTTCCTCAGCTGTCCATAAACCACGTCACTGTAATCTGTCCAAAAACCTCCAAAACTGAGCCTCCAAGTAAGCCCAAGAAGGTTTACCAGCACATTAACCTCCCTTTTGGCTTATTGAAAGAAAAATTAAGAGCTTTGGAAATTGGAGATTTTTATTGCTCTTGGCTTTGAAAGCCCTAATTGTGAGACTAAAATGTTTTCCAGAACAAGTTTTAGAGATTTCCCTCATAACTTCAGGAGAGATGGATTACTCACCAGTCCCTGCAGCCACAGGGAGATGATTGGAACAGTGAGGAAGGAGAATTTTCTTCTTCCTGACATAACACCCTGCCTCTGTGAGGCAGTGGCTGCTCCAAACCACCTTGGATTCTGTGGGTCTGTGTCCACAACTGTCTGTATTCCCTGCCAGACCCAGAGCTCCTGTCATGCCCTGCAGAACTCTCCTCTCTGGAGCACAAGCCATGACTGCCACGTGCACACATCTGTCAACTGTGCAACATGGGGCATTCTTCCTCTTACTGCCTGCTGATTTCTTATGCTGCTCAAATCTTCTTCAGAAAGTAAAAGGTATTTTGAGTTCAATAGAAAAAATTGAGGCAAACACAAAATCTATTTCTTGTTTTTGAAATCCTTCAGTAGCTCTGAATAAAGAAAATCCACCATGCCAGGAAGCTTTGGCATTGTTATGCAGGCAGGCAAGGACTCAGACAAGATATTCCTGTGGCTGCCTTAGAAAAGGAGAACCCCCAGCTGTGAAGATCATCTCACAGCAAAGATGGGGAATAGCTCTGTGTGCTCTGTACAATAGATATGTACATGTATTATATATAGGTTTGAGGAGCTACAGACTGCAATTGTGTAGCTCAGCAAGGATGTCTTGTTATCCATTCTGGAGACATCCTAAAGCATAAAATGGCAGCTCCTGGTTTATTTTTGAAGTATTGACCTGTTCCATCTCAGTTTGCCCTCTTTTACTCATTAAGCCATTTCCCATCCTCCATCCCACTGCGAGGCACTGCCAAGAATTCTGAGCGCCCTGGGCAGAGAACTACAACAGGTCCATTGCCAGATCTATTCCCAGGCTTGTTCTACCTGTTTACTCAAAATGTAGAAAATGCCAGACTGTCTCAGGGCACCTGCAGCACCTGACACATGATTGCTGTCTGTGCCCAACAAGTGCCTCTAGGACCTTCCTAGAACTCACTCTGCCCAAATTGGGCCACCTTTTCCAGGTAACAATGCCAAAATTCTTCAGCCTTGTGTGACTTGTCATCTTCTGTGTCACCTATAACAGAGGACATACAATTTCCACCTGACAGCCTATTCCTGCTTCTGGCACAAATAGGTCTGAAAAGTCCAAATCACTTCCCAGTCACCCTGAGAAGCTCCTTGGGGCAGCCTAAGTTCAGAGAACAAGACTGGAATGGCAGCAATGACTCTCTTTCAGTGTAAGTAATCTCTTCTGTAATCTCTTTTGCAAAGCACTGTAAAAATCACCACTGAATTAATAGCTTAGTCAGCACCAAACCTCATTTTGGACTCCAGAGGCTTTACCCATTCCATGCTAAACATCCTAAAGAAGAAAGAATTAAGGATATGCATCACATGATCATAAGTAAGAAAGTAACCCCACTAAAGTGCAGTTAAGCAAAGTTGAAATGCAGCATTTCTAAGATCATATCACGTAATACAGAGGAAGCAGAAGGTAAACTCTACAATCCATCCATTGGAAAGGAAAAACCCAACTCTAAAAGTCGAGGTAGGTCATTCTGCTGCACAATAACAGAGGTCACTATCACTTCACACATATTAGAAACCCTCAAGTGCTGAGACAGCATTGCACTTATCGACTTCTGTTTTGTTTCAAATTAACATGAATAATTTTGTTCACAGAGATGGATAAATAAGGAAAATTCATGTTCAGAGTGTCCAGGGAACAGGATGGTATTAGAGATTCACTGCTACCTTTAGAAGTCTTTGCCAAAAGCTCGTGGCAACTTTAGGAAAATGATTCTGAGAAATTACCTAGTTATGACTCCAGAAGACACAAAATAATTTAAAACTTACTTGAAACACCAAAAGTCTCTCAGATTTTGCAGTTAACCGACCTTTTAGGAAAATTTACTATCCTGTGTTTCAACAGCACCAGTTTCACCTCCTACTTCTACCAAATCGGTCTCTAGATGCTGCACCAGAGAAAGAAACTGCAAAATACAACACAAGCAACTAGGAGACCTCTGTCTGGGATTACAGACAGACGAAGAAAAGAGCTTTGAAATCTGAAATTAAATTTAGCAGGGGATAACTCAGGGAACAATGCTGGTTTACAGCATTAATAACACTGGCAGGAGCAGTTCTGCTCCTGGAAGCCGTAAGCAATTGTGTCCCAAAGAACCAATGCCTGCTGAAGCCTCACACGTCAAGTGGTAACACTGGCAGGAACAGAACAGGATCTACAGTCCTGAAGGCAACTGTGGCTTTAGAAAGTTGAAGAAGCAGCTTTATTATTTAATGTGACAATAAATCAGTTTTGTAAAGCATTAAATAGGCTGCTGTGAAATACTTTGGTCTAGTCACAGCTCCTGACAAGGCTTACGTGCACAGTTAATTTTGAGCAGTGTGTGTGTGGGATTCTCCAGCTCATCCAACCCTGTGAGCTGTCTGCAAACACATAAACACACCAAACAGCCCACACAGCTCTTGTGGGGTGAGCCCTGTCACACCTGTGCTGGCTAAATCAGTAACTCTGCACCTGATCCCAATTCTTGCAACACTCAGCTGTCTGAGGTATAACCTCAGGCTGTGCAGTTGTGTGCACAGCACACACACAGGGAGCAGCTCACACCCTAAACCCACTGTGACATCAGCTGCAGTACCTTAACACGGCTTAAGATAAAATCTGTTCACATTAATAAACACAATGAATGCTGCTGTTCCAAAGCCAGGAACTACACACACTGGTATGGGCTTCAGGGAACAACTGCTTGTGCATTCTGGGATGAAATGATCCTCATTTATGTGACCTGAAATGTGCACTGAATCCAGGTGAGCCCTTGGCACTTCCACCTGGAATACAGGATCTGTGAGTGTGCTATGAAGAAAAATGGGCTTTTTATCACACAATCTCTGCCTTGCATGAGCAGCAAAAGAAACAGATTAATATGTTCATCTTTCTTTTTTTTTTTAAATATTGTCTCATTTACAGTGTTTCCTTGGCATTTGGTGATCTACAGCCTTTTGATTGTAAAAACAGACATTTTAAAATTTATATCTCTTATTAATGTAAGTATGCTAAAACAGTCTTTTCTGAGCCTCCATATTACTATTTTCCAGCCACAATTCTAAGTATAGTCAGAATTTATAAGATTTTATGCACATGGGCATTACAGTGACAAATCAAATCTTGTCTAGTTTTGAATTCTGCTTCAAGAGGATCACACAGCCAAGCAAAGAACCACTGGTACACACTGAATTCATTGTTCAGCTTCTGACCCAGCAAATGTTTGACTCATAACACATATCAAAGCATTTAATGATATTTCTTTAAAATGTGTTAAGTGAAGTCTTAGATGTGTCAACACTGACTAATTTTTAAGGACTGCTACCCACAATATTCCAGCTGATTAACCACCAGTGGGAAGGAGTTGTTACTATTTAGCTAAAATCCAATGCTCTTGTCAAAACGTGTCCATGGCAAAAATGAGTCAAAGGAGATGGAGCACAAAGGAAAAAACGTGTTGAAGGTTTTACCTCACTGTCTGGGCTGGGCTGGATGACCTCCCAGGTCTGGGAGTCCACGTCGTAGCAGTGGAGCTCGTTGGGCAGCGTGTTGTCTGCAGCCCCCCCGAAGACGTAGAGGTGCCGGTCGAAGGCCACCATTGTGTGTCCGTATCGCCGCTGGGGAGGGGGCGGCGAGCCCCGCAGCAGGTGCTCCGTGGGGATCCGTGTCCAGCTGGGACAGCAAACAGGATGGTTTTATACAATTCTTTAAATTTTCTAACTCTATCCTTCATCACCAGGAGACATTGGATTCTCCCTCGATACCCTTAAGTATTACATTTTGCAACTCAAGGATTATGTGGATTTTGCAGGACTTAATTGTCTACACTTACATCTTTTCCTTGAATTCAAACTGGAAGAGGTTATTGGTAATCTTTGCTCCACTCTGGCCAGAGAAAACAAACATCTTGTCTTTGCAAACTGCCACGGGAAAATTACAACAGGAAGGAGGAATTTCACCACTTTGTTCAATCTGAAAGATAATTAAGTTCAAAATCAGAAATGTATTGTTACAGTGCACAACTCGACGTGCTGAGGACACTTGCAGGGCCACAGGACACAGGTGCAGCCAGGGTGAGCACATGGCATGGGCCCAGTAAAGCTGGCGACTCGTGCTGTGCTTATGTGTCTGATTTTCCCTGGATAAAAAGGTTGGGAGGCCACATTTTCAAAGCTCCCAGTACTGTAAGGATCAGGACTTAGGCCAGCTGGCCAGCAAAGCTCCCAGTCTGTTTTAGTGGTCTGAGTGGGAATGCAGTCCCTTCCACAGGGGACACAGCAAATGCCCCATGGGAAGTCCAAGTCCAGTTCACAGATTCACACGCAAGAAAATCACCCTTTCATACACACTTGGTTTTCCAAATACCCAAACCAAATCAAATTTGAACTGTTTCTTTTCACTGTGCATCAAAAACACATTCTAGAGAAAGAACAGTGCAGTCTAGCATGGGAAATTTTAAATAATTTTGCATTAAAACCAAAAAAGAGGATTTTATGTGTTAAAATTAAAGCTTCTTACCTCTTCCCAGCAGGTCAGCTCTCTGTCCTGCAGGCCTATTGTCCACATGTCATTTAATCTGTGCCATAACACAAAAAATGCTTGATTTGAAACAGTTCATTTTTTGTAACAGTGTTGAAAGGACAGAAATCCTATCTCATCAACATTCCTTTTGCACAGGAAGAATTTTCTACTTCCACTGACAGAAAAACAATTTTTAGAATCCCTTTGTCGTATACCTAAATTTGACATCCCCACCCCAGCTTGCTTCAGTATCTTTCTAGTTACAAGTACACTGCAGTTAACTACATACAGCAACTCAGTCTGGAGCTCAAGGATTTGAGCTATTTAATCTTCAGGATTTTTACAAAATACCCCTTATTACCCTGCTCCTTCTGCTCATCCCTGTTAACTATTGAGATTGACCACTATTATTTACATGGCTGAATCCTTCCTTAAATACAGAAAGGAGGATGAAACAGGTAACCTGACACATCTCTGACTGTGCTGTTCCCAGAACAAGTTACTCAAAGTAACTACAGATGTTTCCTTTGTTCAAATCTGCCTGGAGGCTCAAGTTCCATAAAAAAACATTTTTTAAACGTGATTAGACATATTTAACATAAATTAGACAGCTCTTCTCACCCACTCCTTCCTTACAGCTATCCAAGGCCCTGGGGGACTCCCTAAGCTGGCACTGAACAATCCCACAGAGTCATGCATCTTATACCAATTCCTTCTCCAGAAATAATAAAGACATCCCATCTGTTTTCCCCATTATCAGATTATCTTCTCCTGGAGACTTTGTGGAACTGGACACTTTTCTGAAGATTTCTCCTCAGAAGAGGAGGCAACCCAGCTCCTCATTTGTGACAATCTCTGCGTACTCTCATAATGCAAATATTGTACATCGATGTAAATTACTCCTCAAGTTCATCATGACAGAAAAAGAAATTACACATCAAGAACTGACTGCTCTCTGACAGACCAACAGCAAATGCAAGGAGCTACTGTGAGACAAAGCACCAGGCTCTCTCTAACATCTCAGCACCACTCCTTTCCAGTCTTTCCCCATAAAAAATCCTACCTCCCTTCAACCTAAATATTACATATTTCCAGAGACTTCTGAGAAAAAACTGACACATTGCTCTTAGTTCTGTCAGATGATTTCCTAGCAAATCCAGGCTTTGCTGTCTAAGTCTCAGCAACGTCACCCGGCTTGTGATGGGGATTTTTCAAGAAATGTGCATTTGCCAAATGTCAAAGATCATTTTGCAGCCTTACAACCAAGCACACTGTCAAATTACACATCCACAGCCACTCTGAGTAACCAGATCTTTTGGCTTTAAGCACATACTTATCTGAACATGAACCAGTGAATTGCAAAAGTGCAATGCTCAACAACAGACTGGGTTTGCAAAGCTCCAGTTGAGTGTTTAAATCTCTTGGAATATGGAAATGTCTCTACAAAGGTGGAAAGTGAGGGGCTGGGATTTCACAAAAGCAGTCAAGGACAGGGTGATACTGCCCCATACCGTGCATTGCCATCATATCCAGCAAAGATCCACAGCTTGTCACTGTAAACTGTCGCACCATGAGCTGACCTGGCCACTGGCAACCTGCAAGGAAGAAAACGCAGACAATAATCTTCCCTCTGCAGCTGTAGAGGGGCTGCAGAAGGATCTAAGAAATGTAAGAAGTCCCCTACACAAAATTGCTTCTGCCACGCACCCTCCAAACACTGAGTGAACCTCTGAAGGCATGTGTTAGTTTTGCACTCTGCTGCTTTCAGTGAAGAGACACCCCCTTAATGCAGACAGGAAAAAAAAAAGGAAACAAATCCCAACTAATTCCTTGCCAGGACTCAAATACTCTTAAGAGTACTTCGCATAAAGTAGTTAAACAATGGGAAAATTCAAAGCACCACTGGTAGAGCAAGGTGGCAATCAACTCTTGCTATGAACATCCCACATGTATTCCCACAGACTAAGCAAATGAAACACAGAAATAAGACCAGGATACCCATTTGGGATCATTCAGGGCTGTTCCCAAGATGTAGTATCCACAATGAAAGATCAAACCTATGCTTTCTCTTCCATAATCTTTGATGTTTTAACTAAATCAGCCAGGTTGAACAAACCTGTGATGCCACAAGGCATCTGTTGGCTTGTCTGAGGTCATTGTGCAGCATGAACACTGTAACTCTGGGAAACAACAAGCAAAATGTGAGTTTGTAAACTGAGTAAGAATTACTCTCCAAAATGTCACAAGTTACCAGAATTAACCAGAAAAAGAAATTACTAATAGGGTCTCTGTTCTGAAATATAATGTGCTCGTCAGAGGTGAGCAACAATAACACAAGAATGGATGTGACATTCCTCATCCCTCTCCAGAAATCACAAAAACAAACATCCCCTTCCCTCTCTCCACTGAAACCAGCATTTCAGATACTTCAGCTGTGTATAGGATTGTGGATAAAGACTCCACATGACCCTTACTGGGGAGTCATTTCTGCCCAAACAGAAATGTTTGGGCAGAAAGGGACCTTCAAGCCCATTCAGTCCCACCCCCTGCCAATGAGCAGGGACACCTTCCACTATCCCAGGTTGCTCCAAGCCCCATCCAACCTGGCCTTGGACACTTGAGGGATGGAGCAGCCACAACTTCTCTGGGCACCTGTGCCAGGGCCTCGCCACCCTCACAGCCAAGAATTCCTTCTCAATATCCCATCTATCCCTGCTTTGCCAGTATGAGGCCGTTCCCCCTTATCCTGTCCACCCCCTTGTAAAAAATACTGAGTAGCTGGATCACAGTCACTGTCAGAAATGGCATTGTGAAATGTCCAGGGAGTCAACTTTAGGAAGCCATGTGTTAGTGATTCTGGTTTTCCGTGGAACACTGAATCTCAGGAGCCCACGTTCATGAGGGATCAACATTTTCCAAGCTATCCTTGAAACTGAAAGAATTCAGAAAAAAACCCCAACTCCCTTTGTTCCCATCCCTTTTGTCATGGACCTGAAACATGAAGAGTGGATTTTGGACAAATTTCTTTTATAGTGCACTCTGGAAAGGAGGCCTTCCAAAAAAACTCCTGTAGAACCAAAACACTTTAATTGTAAAAGCAGAGCAGCAATCATGCTGCAGCCCAAACATCAGCACTGTCACTAGGTCTGACTGTGCTATGTGAAAGGATGCCAAGCTACCCTTATTCCCCCAAAGTGTGAGGCAATGACACCAGCTCTTACCTTCCCTCAGTCTTCCACTCTGTCCATTGCCCAGTTGCAAACTTATACTCAAAGAGGTCGTTTTTATTCTTCAGGTTAGAATTGGAATAGATATCTCCAGTGTAACCACCTGGACAACAAGAATTCCATTAGACTCCCAGGCAAGGAGCACACACACTTCCAGGCATTGCATTAGGAAAAACTTTTGATTGCATAAAGTGTTTGGCTAATGGACTACTACAGAAAGAGACTTATCCTCCACTCCTTCTCCTAAAGAATCACTATAGTAATGAGCTTCAAGTCATCCTTACTTTAAACAAAACAGCAAAATATTTCCAAAGTTGAAACCACACTCAGCCATGAAAAATACTGGATTTGCTACTGAATGAGATCTTTGACACTTCCTAAAGATCTCTCATTCTTTTTTCAAACCAGTACAGCAGCACATCTACCACTCCCATCACAACCTGCTGCTGCCTTACCAAACACAAACATGCTGCTCCCGTAGACCACAGCAGAGTGGTGGTACCGTGGTGCTGGTGGCGTCCCCGTTGTGAAAGCCCTGCAGAGGTTACAACAGCAGCAGTCAAACACCCTGGTCATGCTTTGGGCACTCAGAGCTACTGTGCAGACTCAGAAAAGAAACACCTGTTAGAAATCATTATTTTGTTTCTGTGTTACACTGATTTTGGATAGTTGATTGCACTAAGATTTTAGGGAAAGGAAATACGGTATAAATGGTTACAAACATGCTGTTGCTGAAATCTATTTGTCAGAACTGGAAAGTGGAACACAGGTGAGATAAGAAAGACACACTGCCCAGTGCAGGAAGGTGTGAGCCATGCCAGCAGCTTTGCTGGCCCAAGGGGTGCAGCACACCCGGTCCCTCTGCTCTCTCACAGGCTGCAGGAACAGAGGTGACCCTGGTCCTCTCCCTTGTTGTGCTGCCCGGTTTCCCCTCGGGCAGGACCGATAACCCCGATGGCCCAGCACACAGCAGGCTGGCAGGGAACAGCTGTGACAGCGCTGGGCGGAGGTGACACTTCCTCTCGGGTACTCGGGTAGTGCCACAACTTCTACACCCAGCCTGAGATACTGAGGGAAGCCACGGCGTGTCCCGCCCTGCTAGTGGCCGGGGACGGTGAGGGGCCGCGCTGCCCACCTGCACCACGAGCAGTCCTTCACGTCGAAGCGCAGCAGATCGTTCAGCATCGTCTTCCTGCGGGGACGGACGGGAGAGGCGGCTGAGCCGGGCCGGGGGTCGGACAGGGGCGGTCCCGGACCCTCAGCCCTGCTCCCCTCACACCCCGCTCCCCTCACACCCAATCTCCCTTCACATCCATAGCCCCTCACACCCACCTCCCCCCAACCCCGGCCTTGCTCCCCGCGTTCTCAGCTCCCCCTACCCGTTGTCGCCGCCGAACACGTAGATCGCATCCCGATAAGCCACCACGGTGTGTTTGCTGCGCCTGTGGGCGGCACGGACAGGTCAGCGGCGCCGGGAGCCCCCCTCCCACCATCCCGTCCTCTCCCCAGCTCACCGGGCCCCCACGAACTCGTCGCAGGGTGGGAGGCGACGCCAGCGATGCACGGTCTCGAAGGGCCCGAAATTGAGGGTGAGGTACTCGACGCTGTCCGAGCAGCTGTGGTCAAAGTCTACACTCGGGGCCACCTTCGAGCGCCCCGCGCCACCCGCCGGGGCGGCCGCCGCCGCCATGGCCCACGCCTGGCCTCTGGACTACAGCTCCCAGCGTGCCCTGCGCGCCCGCGCCACCAGACCACAACTCCCGGCGTGCATCGCACCCGGGGCGCCGGCCCGGCAGCTGCCAAGCCCTGGACTACAGCTCCCAGCATGCACCGCTAGAGGGGGGCCCGAATGCCACTGAGGGGCTCAAAGAGCCGCGTTCGAGGCCGGGCCGGGGGCCGAGCCGGTACTGGCGCTGCCCGGGTAAAGACCCGGGTAAGGGCGGGGAAGTCAGGCCGGATTCTACATTACAAGAGTTTGTTAATTCACTCCCAAAAATGAACAGTACTGATAAATATGCATAAAGTCTCATTGCAGGGTCCGAGCTGGGCGGTTCTCTGGTCCGTGGGGTCGGAGTTTCGTGCTGCTGCCCGGAGAACACTCGGTGAGCAAACACGGCCAGTTCACCCCCACAGACGAGTCCTGAGCGGGATGTGTGTGGCAGGCACCAACGCAGCAGTGTGCATGTGCCCTCGGCTGTGCAGTCACCCACAGCCCACCCTTTGCTTTTTCTTAGTTTATGTTTCCTAACATGGTGTCAGTCACCTCTATGACCATTAGTTTAGTTTCTCTGCAACGGCAGACAACACAAGTGATGCTGCACCTCAAAACCAGACTTCAGACGCTGCTTCAGAGTCCAGCAGCTTCCATCCTGAGCAATCACTGTGTTACTACTCAGAGGGTTTTGGGCACAATTCCTGCAGCAAACACAATCCTTGCGTAAAGACACATCACGGAGCCTTCAGGGAAGATGACATTGGTTAAGCAGAAAAGCAATGAAGTCATGAGCACCAGAACTTTGCTGAGGTCCCTCAAAACATCTCCCTTTTGCACCCTCTCAGATCCTATCCAGCCTCTTCCTAGGGATTGCTTGAGCCAAGGGTATTTCTTGCCAAGACCACCCTGCACAGGGTAAGGGTGCTGGCAATAACTGCTGCACAACCACACCACCCCTGTGCCAGTCCTGCCCCTTGGGCCGGTCGAGCTTCAGCTGCCATGCAGCAGCACCATGCTCACCCAGTTCAGCCTGCATCAGAGGTGAGGATAAAGGAGGGAGAGTGCAGAGCACCAGTTCAGCCAAAGGAACAACCTTCCCACTTCTCAAGCAATCAAGTAAAGGACACTGTGCCTTTTTCCTTGTCCATCTGTGCTGTGGGAAACTCAGGTAGGTGAATCTTTACACGTAGAGACAGTGCCACTTACCCCCCCCATCCTTCCCACTCACACTCTGAAAAAACATTGATAACTGCAAATCAAAGCCATTTTTACCCAAAACACAGGTGAACTCCAGCAGGAACATAGCACTGACCCATTTGTCTTTTGGAACTTTACAATGACACAGACACCCTTAAATGTTTCAGTTCAGCGTCACTACTAATGTCAGCCTCATTTTTCATGGTCTTGTTTAAATCCACACTCTGACCTGCCTCCAAGGCACAGGACACCCGTCCCAGCTCCCACTGGAGCACACATGAACCCCACCAACACCTCTGTGAGCCCAGGCTAACCAGCCTTCAATGTGCTGTTTACTCCTGATACCCTGAACATACCTCGATGCTTCCAGATGTTTGGCATCCACTTTCCTCCAAGTATGGATGGATGGGTTTCAGCCTTTGCTGCTGACGCACGTGGCAAAAAAAGCTGGTCCTGCTTCTTCCTAGAGCTGGGACCAATTCCTCTAAGGACACATTCTTCACCCTTCTGGAACAGCCATGTGGACACACCACTGCAGCCATCAGCTTCTTGGTAGGTTTACAAACCTACCAAGTTTAACTTGTTGGCCCTAGCAGGTCAGAGCACCCTGTTTAATAGATATTCTCAAAGACCAGAGAATCCCCAGGGAAGAAAGACACTGAGACTCAATGGCATGGGAAGAGCTTGTACCTTATTAGACACATAAAAACCAGGCTTCAAACTCTGCTTCTCATAGTTAGGCACAGAAAAAATTGAGAACAGCTCAGAGGAGTCTGCAGGGGATGGGGGGTTCCCCCAGCTCTGCCCATTCCCGAGCACATGAGACCAGTGAGATTCAGGACTCCAGGTTATGGAGGGTTTGATACAACATCAAAACAAAGCATTCCACAAAGGAACAGCAAGTGCCTTTCTTAAAAGGAAACTGTAATGGCTAAGCCTGTTTTAAGCAGCAGATACAGCACACGACTCCCTTACTGTCCAGGTGACTCCCATGAAACATCCAAACATCTTCTGGCAGCACATAAAGGACGTGTCCTAAGGAGAAATATGTCTTTAAAAAGTGACTTCAGGAAACAAGCACAAGTTCCTTTTAAATCTGTTTTATAACAAGGATACCAATGTACATTTTAATAGTTTTATTTCATTTTCCCCAAAAGGGAACCAAAGGCAGAGAGGTGTTGTGAGATACATTACACTGTTCTCATGGGGAAATCAATTTGCAAATGTTATTTTACCACTCTATAAAAATACACACAGGAGTGTGAAAAAAGCAAAGGAGTTCAGAGTGGCTGTCATGGAGCAAATATATTAAATACAATCAGTTTTTTTTCTCCTAAAAACTGTGGCTCCTTGGGTTCCAGAAAACCAGTCTTTCATAGCCACATGCCACAGGAACAGAAATTTAAGTGGTGGCTTCCTCTGAGCATGTGCTAACAATGCTAACAAGTGTTAGTGAAGAACTGCTCCCATGGGAGATGTGAGCAACAGAGCCCCCGTCCGCACCAGGAAAGAAGATATGCACTCAGTTTCATTGTCTCAGCTTCCCCTCCAAACTCCTGTGAACTGGCTCCATCCCGTCCAGGCAGCTCTGGAAAGAGTCTGTGGGTCTATAAAAGAAGTCACGTTGTAGGATCAAGATATTTACCCTGTGTTACGTGAAGAGGAACAACAGCCAAGAACAACCTTCCCACTTGTCAAGCAATCCGTAAGTGACCCGGTTCCTTTCTCTGTCCGACTGTGCTGTGAGAAACTGAAAGTGCCTCTTCACAGGTAGAGACAGTTTCCTTTCAAAAATATTAAGGACACATTATTTTTTATCTTTAAGAACTTCCTGGAAAGTTACTGTGGAAAATGAAAGTGCTCCTGTGGTGAGACCAATGTGCAATGTCCTTGCTGCTTTCTCAGGATTCCTTCCCTTAGTAGATGCATGTTAAGATGAGGCTCAAAAAAACAAGGCCATTGTCGACCTGGAACAAGGCAGGCAGACACTGGAAAATGTTTTATGTCCAATCATAAAACACGGAATTAGCCAAAAAACCTCTATTGTTCAGATCTGGCAGGTGTGGCCTCTGGAGTGGGTCTATATCCCGATGGCCTGCAGCACTCGCTTCTCGTTGTCGTTGAGGTGGTCAGAGAACATGGCATAGCAGGGCTGCTGTGCAAACTGGCACAGGAAGTCGGTGAGATAGGCCTGGGAGGGACAGAAACACCCTGTCAGCACCACCCTCCTGGAAAATCCTGCTGCTTCCATCTGTCAGGAGACATCCCAACATGCACCAAGTAGGACCCCGGGATTGAAGGGAACAGAAAGGAGCGGTGCAGGAGAAGGAGTGGAATCAGAAGGAAAGGTTGGAGCAGAGGAAAAAGGGTGGGAGCAGAGGGAAGGGCCCATCAACAGCTGCAGGTGGTGGGAAAAGCAGGAGCAAAGGGTAACACAGGGGCTGACTGAGTGGGAGCATCTCCAAGTGGAGTATGAAATTCTGTCATGTTCACTCTCCAACCTACTCCTGACTTCTGCCAGTAGCTGTGAAGCTCACAAGTAGAAAAGTCTCATCTCCCTCTGTTCAGAGTTTTGTTCATTCACATTTCCATGTCATGGATATTAATAATAAGGAAAAATAGCTCCAGAAATTCTTGGGACACTTAGCCCTTTCCAAAGTAATTTCAATTAACAGAGTGCCTTCTGGATGACAATCAATAACTGGTGTTTGCAGTGCTTACACATTTGTTAAAGTACAACATTTAGAAAATTAAAGTTTACAGAGAATGATTGGAATCTGATAAGACCCCTCATTCTAGAGCATCACCTGGAGATCTATTTGGTAAAGAGGGTCCTTTAATGCATCTGGATCATCTTCTTCATCGTCTTCATAGTAATCTTCATCTGTCAGAGGCAAATCAGCATGTTTTAACATCAAAAAGAGCAGACTATCTCAGGAAGTTTTCTATCAAGCTACTGAAACCCAAGGATCCAAAAGTAAATAGTTTCAGCACTGCTGGGAAAAAGAAAATTGTATCCAGAATATTCGTTCCTTTATGTCAGGTGATAGAAACCACTGAAGCCCAGAACCAGGGTCAGTGGAGGCTCAAGGAACACACAGGTGAGCCAAGCACACATGGGACACTCACAGGCAGGCCTGGGAATTCCATGCACCAGAATCTTCTGCCTTAATCCCACGTGAGGGTGACACTTTGCCAGTTCTGTGCTAATGTGAGCAGCATCCCTTGCTGTTTCCCTGTAAAGTTCTCCCTTCTGAGGGTACATGAAACTGAGAGATGATGCACCTGCTCATCTCTTTATGTAGCACTTGTTCCTCAACGTCTCTCCACAAACAAGCTCACCCATCCCTTGGACACTGTAATGCTGAGCTCACACCTACGACTTTGAGCAGCAATTTTCTCTTTTGAAAAATAACCTGCAGGAACCTCCCAGCTGTGAAGCCTGTGCAGCATGTGAACTCCCAGGTGATGTTATTTATAATGCAACAATTTAATCACCATGTTGCTCAAAGCCATGGCTTCTCCAGAAAGCTCTTATTCACAATCCCAGGGCAGAATTCCTTCCCTGTGCCTGCAGTCTTTGTTTTGCAGCTGCCAAGGGAAGGAAACTTTGACTAGGATGTCACCTACTTGATTACTGCTCTGAAGAAGGACTTTCAAGCTGCTACTCACCATACTTGTTTGTGGAAAGAATATCTGATAAGAACTGTCCTGCTAAGCCTTCATCTTCATCCTCGTCTTCTTCCTGATCCTCCCACATATCATTTGAATCATCTGTT